TGTGTGTGTGTGTGTGTGTGTGTGTGTGTGTGTGTGTGTGTGTGTGTCTGTGAGAGAGAGGGGAAGAGATTTGTATTTTCATCTCTTGCTATAACCTGGAAAACTTGTAACATAGGTATATTATCTTTGTTTTGATATCTATGTTCATATCATAATTCTTTCCATGAGCTTGTGGTTGGGCGTTCTGGTTGTGAGATCGCTGTATTCTACTTTATATGTTGCTTAAATTTATTAGTGGGGAGACATAGTGGTATTTGCTATTCAAAAACAAAGGATTTTTTTTCTCTTTTAGTGTTATTTTCTCTGCTTTGCAAACTTTGAAGGATTCTTGGAAACTATCCACACAAAAGCATTGTTAAGGTAATTGCCTTTAAAGGTAATTGATCCAACTCTTAATCAGCTGTCTTCTTTTGACTACAGCTCTTGTGACTTCTCTCCTGGTGATTTGGTTTGGGCCAAGATGGAAGGTTACCCCTGGTGGCCTTGCCTTGTGTATAACCACCCCACTGAAGGAACATTCATCAGAGAAAGGGGGAAAACTTTCCGTGTCCATGTACAATTTTTTGATGACAATCCAGTGAGGGGCTGGGTTAACAAAAGGCTTGTAAAGCCATATACAGGTAAGAGATTTGCTCTTAAAGTAGGAAACTAACACATTTTTATCTTTTTTAAAAAACATGCTGAATATATACGTGATAGATTTGCAGTTTCATGTACAATCATCTTTTTTATTATACTATGTTATAGAAAAGCTTGTTTTATTACATAAATTAAAAAGAAAAAAACTGTGATGAATATAGCTTATTTTCAGTTCTGCTAAGTTGTAGGAATGTCCTTTGCAGTACCACCATCAAAGATTTTGGTATGAGAAAGTGAAATTTAATATCATAGATTTGAAACTGGAAGGGACCTTAGAGGTTGTCTAGTTCAACCCCCCTCTTTTTATAAATGAGGAAATTGAGGTCCAGACAGTTGATGTGACATGTCTACAGTTGCATAGATAGCATGTGCCAGAACTGGGATTTGAAACCAAGTCCTCAGATTCCAAATCTGGTTCTTTTCCCACTATGTCATTAATCAGAGCTTTTGTGTTAAAATGGGATTTCTCTTTCTGCTTTGTAACCTTTTGCAGTTGGATTCCACTTTGTTGTCTTCCTTAAAAGAAAAGAGATGTTGTGAATTGCCAAATAGACCTCAGTGCACAAATAAGATTGAGAAAGGACATGGTTTGGTCAAAAAAAAGGAAGGCTAGAAAGTTTTAAAATTATTTGTCCAAGTTCATATAGAGAGAGTTAGAAGAGATGTCAGGCCATTAAGTCTAACCTCCTTTTCCTTGAATATAAAATTTTGTATTTAGGGTCAGTTAATATAGGCTATTTATCCCATTGCTGTCCAATTGCACTTGTTTTTAATTTGGATTAGGGACTGCTTGCGCTTATGCAGTCCAGAAATAAATATAATTTAAAGAGTCCTAGACTGGGAACTGGGAGACAAATCCATGGTTGAGCACCAGCATTACCATTTGCTGGATGACTTCATCCATCATCTAATGGGAGAGACAACATGTAAATAACTAAGTACATATAAGATATATACAGAATAAATGGGAAGTAATTTCAGGTGAAGGCTTTATCAGCTGGAGGCCAGGAAAGGTCTTCTGCAGAGGGTGGAATTTGAACTTGAGAGACTTAAAGGAAACCAGAGAAACCAAGAAGCAGAAGTAAGCAGGGGGTAGATGGAGTATCACGTAAGCAGCAGCACAAGCAGGCCAGTATAGCTGGAGTGTAGATTAAGTGGAGCGGGAAGTAAAATATAAGAAGACTGGAAAGGTAGGAAGGCACCAGATTATAAAGAACTTTAAATACCAGATAGAGAAGCCTTTATATTTTATCTTGGATGTACTAGGGAGTCACTGGAGTTTATGGAGCAGGTGGCTGACATGGGCAGATAGCTATATTTTGGGAAAATCATTTTGGCAGTTGAGTGGAGATGGATGGATTGAAATAGGGAGTCACTTGAGGCGGTGGCGGGAGAGAGGGACACTTAGGAAGTCTGTGAATAGAGTATATAAATGACAAGTTTTGTCAACAGATTGGATATGTGGAGTGAGTGAAGGATCCAAGATGACATAAGTTATAGGCTTGGTTGACTAGGAGGATGGTAGTGCCTTTATAATACTTATTAGTTTTTTATAATTTTAATTTTCTAGATTTATGTAACTAGTAACATAATATCCTTTTAATAGGTGTCAGTTTAAAAAATCTTTTAAAATATTATACTAGTAAGTTGGAATTAAATCATTCACTTTAGGAGGAGCGTCTTACCTTTCTTTGTTTAGGGTGCCTAAATTAAGAGAAAGGGGTATCTAAGTGAACTTCAATGATTCAAGAAAGTAGCTTCATAAAAGTACATTTCCTTTCCTTTTCATTTGTGTTTGTACTTGTACACTGGGCCTGATGCTGCTTAACATCTAAAAAACTGTTTTTAAAGCATACTTTCTTAAAGTTTTTACCTTTGCAAAAAATGTAGTTACTTGCTACTTCAGGCATCCCTGTTCATTTGCTGAGTAGAGTCTGTTCTTAGCCATTTTTCCATTGTACTTATTAGAAAACTTTTTCTTTACAGGTTCAAAATGTAAGGAAGCCCAGAAAGGAGGTCCTTTTTATACTGCAAAGCCTGAAATACTCAGAGCAATGCAACTGGCAGATGATGCCATAAGTATAGAGAAGAATAAGCGGCTTGAATTAGCAGTATGTGATGAGCCTTCAGATCCAGACGAGGAGGAAATGGAGGTAGTAACATTAATTTTGCAACCATATGACTACTGTTTGTTCTGATAGATAAGAAAATGGAAGGCTATCTTTAAATGACTTTTTTAGGGATAGGTATATCTTTAGATATAGTATATGTTTGTGTGTACGGATGTATACAAACATATACCTACATATGCTAACATACAACATGTGCAGTAATCCAGTGACATGGAACTTTAGCGTATATACTTTCTAGAGTGTGAATTCCTGCCATTTTAAGCTATAGTGATGTTAATAGAGTACTCAGATCTTAAACCATCTACCACATTTGTCAGGGTACTGGGATAGAATGTGCCCCCGTGTGTTAATGGGGAGTGTTTGCATAAGAGAGGTACTTAGTTGCCAGTATTAAACTTAAATATCTAATATTCAAGAATGTTTTCAACTTTTTCCATCCAGATGGTATTTGATGATATTATAATTCAAGTCTGCAAATATAGGGCATGTGGTGATAGAGTAATGCTGTGTGAGTCTTCTTTCCTTGTGAACAGGCCTGAAATATCTGCAGTTGCCTGAGAAGAGTTGGGGAGATGGATTGCAAGCTTCTTTGTATTCTTTGCTAATATAATCATTGAGATGAAGCAGAACTGAGCATAGAGCTTGAGAACAAGTTTTACTGCCAAGCAGATAAAAAGATTTATTAGATCTACACTCTGCACAAGAAGTTGAGCAGAGCATAGTGGTTAGAGAGGAGCTGGCCTCAGAGTCAGAAGACTAAATTTAAGTTCTTTCTCTGATACATTCAAACATCCCATAAGACAAGGTTGTACAATTGCCTGTATGTATTAGAAAGAATTTCCTCACTGTGAATTCCCTACACCAATAAAACAGTTCTGGACCACACAATGCATATTGCTCAGTAGAAGCCCTGATTTTTAAATGTTGAATTGAAACAATCATAGAATCTTACTGTTGGTGGGGAATCTTTTGAGGTCATCTGATTTAAATTGTGTAATGAAAAGCAGAGTGGCTCTGCGGTGTGGGAGGATTTGAGTACAAATCCTGCCTATCACACTTACTACCTTTATACAATTCACTTAACCTCCCTGGACCTCATTTTCCTCATCCATAAAATGCAAGTTTGGAGTAGAAGTCATCATATGTTCTCTCTTGCTCCAAATTTTTGATCCAGTAACGTTTTGCAGATAAAAAAACTGAGGCACAGAACATATAGCAAGCAAGGGTAGAGGCATAAGAAAAGTTAGACAAGCTAACTTCCCTGTACTCTCACTTTGAAAACTAATACACAAATGTCCTTAAAAACTAATACATTAGGGGGCAGTGAGGTGGCTCAGTGGATAGAGCACCGGCACTGAAGTCAGGAGGACCTGAGGTCAGATCTGGCCTCAGACCAAACACTTGACATTTACTAGCTGTGTGACCCTGGGCAAGTCACTTAACCCCAATCGCCTAACCAAAAAAAAAACCCTAATACATTAGGGAGTAGTTTCCAAGGTTGGACTAAGCAGGTGTCCAGTCTTTCAGCTCAAGCTCATCTCAGGATTTTCCTCCATCTTTGGTCCAAGGAACCTAGAGTGTCCTAGAGCAGAGGCTTAAAGATTTGAAGGGATGCTTGGCACCTTGTTTTCCCCTTTCTATTGGGAAGGCAGCATAATGGGTTCGGAGTCAAGACCTTGGTTCAATTTTGGCTTTGCTGCTTACTGCTTTTGTGACCCTGGGCAAGTCATCTAACATCTCTGGGCCTCTGTGTTTTCAACTGTAAAATAAGTGGTTAGATTAGACGCCCTAGGTTCCCTTTATTCTCTAAATCTGTGATCACAGTCAATAAGCATTTATTGAGTGGCTGCTAAGCTAGGTTCTAGGGGAATAAGCATAAAGATGAAATAATCTGCCCTCAAGGAGCATATCTTTTATCAGGGGACACAGTATATGTGTATACAAATACAAAATAAAATAATGGGCACTAACAACTAGGGAGATTAGGAAAGGCTTCATGGAGAAAGTGCTACTTGAACTGGTTTTCAGGGAGACTGGGGATTCTGAGAGGTAGAGTTGAGGACAAAGTGCATCCATTCTAAGAGGCAGCTGTCATTGGTTAAATTGTTCAGTTGAATTAACAATCCACTAATAACTATAATCAAAATGTGTTGTTAGGTAAATGAAAAAAAAAGTTAATTTGTTTGAAATTTTTTGTGGTTGTTTTTAATTTAGGACTTTTGATTTCATCACCATAAGGAACTCCAAATGAGGAAAACTTCCTTTGTTATGTGCATAGATAGCTGATTTGCATCCTATAGTTTTAGACATTTTTTAAGGGCATTAAGAAATCAAGTGACTTGCCCAGAGTCACTTAGCTAACGTGTAACGGAGGGAAGGACTTAAAAAAACCCAGGTCTTCCGACTAAGTTGCTGGTTCTTTGTATGATAGGATCTATTGTTTCTCATTTGAAATATCAACAGAATAATTAATGAATTTGCCAATTGTTCTTCCTTAATGTTCATAAATGTACTGATGTACCCACATTGAAAAATGGACTTACCTTCATTTTATCTATAGTAAGGGTGGGAAGCAGTGATTACATAAATAAAAAGCACTTCAATTTTTGTTGTGGGGAAAAATGGTGTGGGGGAAAATGAAATGTTTCATTTGATTCTTGAAATTAAAAACAAAATACAAACTAAATTTAATCCTTCTTAGAGTTCATAAATTTAAAATTCTTGCTCTTTTTTTTGTGTTATTTTCCTCCCATTCCCAGTTCCCTCTTTGTTCTTGGCCTCTGCCTCCTGAACTGCTGAGGGTAGTTACTGTCTAATTACAGTATGGTTTGGTCTAGGAAACACTATTTTAGTTCAGCTCCTTCATTTTACATATTGAAAAGAAGCATGGCAAAGTAGATAGATCTTAGTATCATGAGAACTTGTGTTCAAGTTCCTGCCTCTGCCTCATTGGCTGTGCAACCTTGGGCAGATCACTTAACATCTCAATGCTTGAGAGAACTCTCTGAGACCGCAAGTTTCAGAAAAGGTGCCAGTCTACATTGGTAGAAAGTTTTCTTATTCAGGAGATCGTGGTACTAATGAAATCACAGGTCCAGTCTCACTGTCCCTTCATTTTATAGATGAGAAAAACTGAGTTCCACAGAGTGTGTGACTTGACCCAAGTTTGTTTTAGCTATTTAGTGACAAAACTAAGACTGGAAATCAGGTTTCTTGACTCTCAGTCCATTATTTGTTATGTCCTCCACATAGCTGTGTATATATGTTAAATTCTGTATCTGGTTTACAAGTCCTAGGAAGCAGAGATCATCATGCTGTTAAGAATCATAACTTTTTTTTTTTTTTTTTTTTGGCCTTTTGGTGAGGCAATCGGTATTAAGTGACTTGCCCAGAGTCACTTAGCTAGTAAGTGTCAAATGTCTGAGGCCGGATTTGAACTCAGGTCCTCCTGACTCCAAGGCTGGAGCTCTGTCCACTGCCCCACCTCGCTGCCCTAGAATCATAATTTTAAAACATTTAAATTCTTAGTTATGGACAGTTGCAGAGATAAAACAGAATAAAAGAAAACTAGCAGTAGATGACCCTGAACACGTGTGCATGAGGGGAAAACATTCACATTTTATAGCATTTTAATGTCTGTGAAACATGGAAAATGGGGTGGGGGTTGAGAGGGGGAGAGGAAGGGAAAGTGTTTGTAATTCTTTTGTGTGTTTTTTGTTTTGTTTTGCATATTACCTTTTAGTAGAATTGAAATCCCATCCCACCCCAGTACCCTTAATACATGCCTATGTATGTGTATATTCATAGTACATATTTTTAATGCACCAAGTTTTATTTTGTTTTTAAATAGTCTCTTCTTTTTGATAGGTGGCTGTGGCTTCTGCATCAGATAATAGTGGAGAGGATCTAGAGAGTGAAGAGGAAGTGAGACCCAGGAGGCAGGTGGCTAAGCGCAGCACAGCCCGGAACAAAAAGCGCAGAGTTGTTTCGGACTCGGAGAGCGATGCTGGTGGCTCTGATGTGGACTTTAAACCAGATACCAAGGAGGAAGGGAGCAGTGATGAAGCCAGCAGCGGAATGGGGGAAAGTGACAGTGACATGGACAGTCCCGTCAAAGCCGCCCCAAAACGGAAGAGAGGGCCTGCTGTCAGCAGCTCCCTCAAGAGGAAAAGCTTGGGAGCTTGTGCTCCTAATGTACCCAAACGAGTCGTAGGAGTTTCCTCAGAAACTAAGAACACATTGAGTGCTTTCTCTGCTCCACAGAACTTTGAGTCCCAAGCCCAAGTTAGTGGAGGTGGTGACGGGAGCTGTGGCTCCACTCAGTGGTACCATGAAACACTAGAATGGTTAAAGGAGGGAAAGAGGAAAGATGCATGCAGGAGGCGGCCAGATCATCCTGATTATGACCCAAACACTGTCCACATTCCTGAGGATTTCCTTAACACCTGTACTCCAGGAATGAGAAGGTGGTGGCAAATCAAGTCTCAGAACTTTGACCTAGTAATCTTCTATAAAGTGGGGAAGTTCTATGAGCTCTACCACATGGATGCAATCATTGGGGTCAGTGAGCTGGGGCTAGTGTTTATGAAAGGCAATTGGGCCCATTCAGGTTTCCCAGAAATTGCATTTGGTAGATACTCAGATTCCTTAGTTCAGAAGGGTTACAAAGTTGCTCGAGTTGAGCAGACAGAGACCCCTGAAATGATGGAAGCTCGCTGCCGAAAGTTGGCTCATATATCCAGATTTGACAGGGTGGTGCGGAGAGAGATATGCAGAATTATTACCAAGGGTACACAGACTTACAGTGTGCTGGATGGTGAACCTTCTGAAAGCAACAATAAATATCTGTTATGTGTCAAAGAAAAAGAGGAGGAAGCTTCTGGTCACATGCGTTTGTATGGTGTTTGCTTTATTGACACCTCTGTGGGCAAGTTTTATATGGGTCAGTTTTCAGATGACCGTCATTGCTCCCGTTTTAGGACTCTGGTGGCACATTACACTCCTGCACAAATACTGTTTGAGAAAGGAAATCTTTCTGCTGAAACAAGGAAGGTCCTGAAGGGTTGTTTATCTTCTTCCATTCAGGAAAGTCTTATACCAGGCTCCCAGTTTTGGGATGCAGCTAAAACGTTGAGAACACTTATTGAAGAAGGATACTTTAAAGAAAAACTAAATGTGGCTGATGGGACGGTATTACCCTCTGTGCTTAAAAGCATGACATCAGAATCTGACACCATTGGCTTAACACCTAATGAGAAGAGTGAGCTGTCATTGTCTGCTTTGGGTGGTTGTGTCTTCTACCTCAAAAAATGCCTTATAGATTATGAGCTTTTGTCTATGGCCAACTTTGAAGAATACATTCCTGTTGATGCTGATATGGTGAAAGCTGTGAAGCCTGGTGCTATCTTTGCTAAGAGAGATTGTCGAATGGTGCTAGATGCTGTGACCCTGAGTAACCTGGAGATTCTCCAGAATGCAGTAAATGGCTCCACTGAAGGGACACTGTTAGAGAGGATTGATACTTGCTGCACTCCCTTTGGGAAGCGGCTCTTAAAACAGTGGCTCTGTGCTCCACTCTGTAACCCATCCTCCATTAATGACCGTTTAGATGCAATGGAAGATCTCATGGCTGTGCCTGACAAAATTAGTGAAGTAGTTGACCTTCTGAAGAAACTTCCAGACCTTGAGAGGCTGTTAAACAAGATTCATAGTGTTGGCTCTCCACTGAAGAGTCAGAAGCACCCAGACAGCAGAGCTATAATGTATGAAGAAACCACTTACAGCAAAAAAAAGATTGTTGATTTCTTGTCTGCTTTGGAAGGATTCAAAGTGATGTGCAAAATTATTGGGATTATGGAAGAAGTGGTAGATAATTTCAAGTCTAAAATCCTTAAGCAAGTAATTACACTCCGGACCCAAAATTCAGGGGGTCGTTTCCCTGAATTGACCGCAGAGTTGAACCGATGGGATACAGCCTTTGACCATGAAAAAGCTCGAAAGACTGGAATAATTACTCCCAAGACGGGATTCGACTCTGATTATGACCAAGCGTTGGTTGATATCAAGGACAATGAGCAGAGCCTCTTAGACTATTTAGAGAAACAGCGCAAACGGATTGGCTGCAGGTCCATAGTCTATTGGGGTGTTGGCAAAAATCGCTACCAATTGGAAATTCCAGAAAGTTTCACATTGCGTGATTTGCCAGGGGAATATGAACTAAAGTCCACCAAGAAGGGCTGTAAACGGTACTGGACAAAAGACATTGAGAAGAAGCTTGCTGATCTGATGAATGCTGAAGAGCGGAGAGATGTATCACTGAAGGACTGTATGAGGAGGCTTTTCTTTAATTTTGATAAAAATTATAGGGACTGGCAGACTGCTGTGGAGTGCATTGCTGTGTTTGGTAAGACTGGTGAATTATCCTTTTTTCAGGCCTGGGGAATTACTACTGCCTTCTAAGTCAATTATTTATGATACTGTTAAGTCAGTAAGCAATTATTAATCGCCTACCACTGTGCTAAAGCACTATGGATACTGAAAGGCAAGAGACAGCCTCATGACTTTGAGGATCTCACAATCTAGTGTCTGACACAATCATTCACTGTTAAGAATGAGATTGTGACACTAATAATATAATGAACTAGCCTTAGTCATAGACAGTTGCTTTTTACCTATCATTTAAGCTTCACAGATACTATTGGTAGATTTTGTCAGATGCATAGCTGCCCTTTCCTAGACAGAGGGAGTATTCCATCTATGGTAGTTGTGTAAAGTGCTATAGAGAGTTTATTTGTACCAACCTAAATTGGGCACTTGAAACATAACCAAAAGGCCATTTTTCTTACAAGTCTTTCCTAGTCCAGAGTGATTATGACCCACATTTCTCCAAATCCTTTGAATAATGAAATCACAGAATTTTTTAGAGAGCAATCATTTCTTTTCGTTTTTGCTTTTTGTCTTCTCCTTACTGTTTTTCTGTCAACAGATCATTGTGTAATGAAAAGACTACGAGTATGGGAGTCAGAACACCTGGCTTCTAGTCCTAGCTCTATCTTAATGAGCTGTGTGACCTTGGATTCTCAACCTCCACTCAGAACATTAAACTTCCTTCTAGCTCTGGAACTCTGTTGTCTTGTACAGTTAACTTAATCTTAAGAATACTTATCTGTATAAAATTATAATTTATCTTCTTCTCTACCTCATTTTTTTATACTTGTCCCAAAAAATTGAGTATACATTTGCTAGATTTGGAACTACTTATTTGTGATATAGCTATTATAAGGTCTAGAACTCTTTTAACCTATTTTTGTAAAAAGTATCTTTATGTCCAGACCTGTTATTTCTTCCGTATAGGAAACTACTGATGTAGATGGATAACTCTAACTTAATTTTAAGGGCAGAGATGTCAAACATGTGACCTGTTGGTTACTTGTGCCCTTCAACAACCAGAAGTGCAGCCCAAACCAGATTAAAATGTAATGGGGAAATATATAGCAAAATGATAAAATATAGAAGATCACATATTAATATGATCTAAGTCAACATGCAGCCCACAGGGATCCTTATACACTGCTTAGTGGCCTCTGTTTCTTTAGAGACTAAGTCTCAAAAGGCAGGACTGGAACTGAACCAGTTGTTCCTGACACTAAGGCCTATATTTTCTATGCTTTTGGCCTTCTAAATGCTATATAAAATATTTTCTTTTAAAAATTCTTACCCAGTTTTCTGAATCTTTTAACATGTAAAAAAAATTAAAATGTCAGTTCTTGATACTCCCATTTTTATTGCATCACTCTTGTCAGACATGACATGTCTCATTCTATCTCTAGGCTTGTTTTTTACCAACAGTCCCTCAGTCCTTTATAAAGTAATTGTTAAAGATTTTCCTTTTTATTCAGTCTATTTGGTCATAACATTTATTCTATTTATTCTTTTTAAAATGTGGTTTCTTAAACATTTCATTTCTTTGTAAGAAGTGTTCATTTTGTCATATCAGTTAATATTTTTTGGTTCTTCTCTATGAAATGTCAGTGATTATTTTAGGTAAGAGCATATTAAAATAACTTACACATTTCCTTAGTCTTGTTTCTGTGGTTCAGGGTGATCCTCTCCCTCTTTGGATGAAATGATCCAGCCCTGTGGTGTTTTTTGAGCCCTATTTGTGGGAGCTATTGGGTTTGAGTAACGTTCCTCTCCAGTTAAAATTAAACTGCATTGTTAGACATCAAAAAACATTTCTAAGTAGGATTTACATTGCTTATATTTTCAAGAAATCATGTCAGTTATGTGCTCTCTAAAGTATTTCTGTTAGTAATACAAAATGTATATCATAAAACTAACAAAAACTTTCAAGTGAGGGGGCTAAGCTAGATGTAGATTGCCTTTGTCTTTGCTAGCTTTAACTTGAATTATTGTATTACAGTTCCTTTAGAAAATCTTTAATTAGAGCTTATATTTTACCTTTTTTTCTTTTTCTTTTTAATAGATGTCTTACTGTGCTTGGCTAACTATAGTCGAGGTGGTAATGGTCATATGTGTCGTCCAATAATCCTAGTACCAGATGAGGATACTCAACCCTTCTTAAAGCTAAAAGGATCTCGACATCCATGCATTACAAATAATTTTTTTGGTGATGACTTTATTCCTAATGACATTATGATAGGCTGTAAGGAAGAAGATTCAGAAGATAGTACCTGGGATGCTTATTGTGTGCTGGTTACTGGACCAAACATGGGGGGCAAATCAACCCTCATGAGACAGGTAATTCATAAATATTTTTCCTGGGCAGGTAGGTGGCAGTGGGTAGACCCTTGGACCTGAAGTCAGGAAGACCAGAGTTCAGCTCTTGCCTCAGACACTTAACTAGCTGTTGTGACCTTGGGCAAATCATTTTACCCTGTTTGTCTCAGTTTCCTCATTTGTAAAATGAGTTGAAGGATGTAGAACCCCAAATGGGGTCTTGAAGAATCAGGTGTGACTGAAACAACTAAATAACAATTTTTACATGAAGTATGTCATTAAAATATTCTGGGATCCCTCATGCACTTAAACCTCTCTCCCTTACTTTTAAAAGTAGTCTGTAAGCATTAAATCCCAATTAAAAAGCAAATTTGTTTCAATTATTAACAATGCCATATTTCCAGTTTTATTTTTTGATGTTTTTATTTGAGCATACTTTTTGATATAGTGCCTTTTCTAGGAGCCAATGGGAAATCAGTAATTTCCAGTTTTTACTGTAGCCTCATTAAAGTGACGAAAAATAGGTTATCCCTTAAAATGGGTGTAAAGGATAGTCATTAAGAAAGCTGTTTTTGTTTTTGTTTTTTGTTTTTTACATAAATTCTGGTCCTAGTAAAGCAAGAGAATTTGAGATAACCCAAACATTGAAAGTATTTTGGTAGGTGAATCACATTTTTTGAGAAGGTGCTGGGGAAGAATATATAGTTCAGTCCTTGGAGAAGGGACACAGTATCTGAACACAGAACCGTATTGGGAATCTGGAGATCTGAATAAATTAAATTAAAGGTCTACTCCCTCTATGACGTAGGGCAAATCATTTTTTAATTCAGTGATCCATGCTGTCCTTCAGTGAAGTATGAGAGATTTGTGTTTCTTGCTAATGACATATTGGGTGTTTTTTGTTTGTTTTTAATGTTCACAGGCTGGTCTTTTGGTTATAATGGCTCAGATGGGCTGTTATGTTCCTGCTGAAATTTGTAGTTTCACACCAGTTGATAGAGTGTTCACTAGATTAGGTGCTTCAGACAGAATAATGTCAGGTAAGTTAGTCTGTCTTGTTTAGCTAACAATTTTGTGTTTTTAGATTTTAACCACTGAAACTACCTGAGGTAGTCTGTTAAATTGGTCTGTCTTGTTATATACATATATATAGTTGTATAGTTATTGTGTAAATAGGTTTTAAAGCTCTGGTGAAGGAAAGGAATTTACAGGCAAGTAGACTGTGGTCTTACAAAAGGAATCTTCCTAACAATTAGGACTATATGCAAAAGTGCAACGAGCTGACCAGGAAAAGTAGTACAAAATGATTACTGGACTTCCTTTAAAAGTCTTTCATGCAACAACTTCAGTTAAGAATTTGGACATTACTACTACATGTGTCTTGAGTTTATTTATGATTGTTTTTCAATTTGGCCTTGGACCTATTGAATGACCATTGTCATTTTTGACCATTTTTGCATGTCAGGTGAAAGTACCTTTTTTGTTGAAATGAATGAGACTGCCAGCATACTACAGCATGCAACAGAACATTCCTTGGTGCTCATGGATGAACTAGGTAAAATCCTAAGATTTAAGTGGAGAGGGGAGACTAAGCAAAAGAGTAGTTTGTGATCCTTCTTAATTCTTGTAGGTAGAGGCACTGCGACTTTTGATGGTACAGCTATAGCAAATGCAGTTGTTAAAGAACTTGCCGAGACCATAAAGTGTCGTACTTTATTTTCTACACACTACCATTCATTAGTAGAGGATTACTCCCAAAATGTTGCTGTGTGCCTAGGACACATGGTATGTAACTGTTGATTAAAGGGGGATTTACAGTTTGGAAAACAGCTTGGTACCTCCAAAAACACAGATTATCAAGTCATGATAAATATTATCCTTTTAGGCATGCATGGTTGAAAATGAATGTGAAGACCCAAGCCAGGAAACCATTACCTTCCTCTATAAATTTACTAAAGGTGCTTGTCCTAAAAGCTATGGATTCAATGCAGCAAGGCTTGCCTGTCTTCCTGAAGAGATTATTCAGAAAGGCCATAGGAAAGCAAAAGAATTTGAGAAGATGACCCAGTCATTGAGACTATTTCGGTACGTTAATCAATCATACAAAATATTCTTTGGGTACATATAGTAAGAACTTGGACAGACATAATGGGGGAAAAAGTAAGGACTATAACAGGAAAATTAAAAGAAACTAACTTGTTTTGTCTCATTGTTTTTAGGGAAGTTTGCCTGGCTCTTGAAAATTCAGCTGCAGATGTCCAAGCTGTTCGCAAGTTGTTCACTTTGATCAAGGAAATATAAGCTTCAGCAAATTTCTGACAAAGGTGGTAAAATTCAGACAACGTTATGATCTAATAAACTTTATTTTTTAAAAATGACCATTTTTCCATTTTCTTTCCTAGGAAATTAAACCCTTTTAATTCTTACCTACCCTCTACATAATGGTTATTGAATACTTCACAATATATTAAGTCTAGATGTTATGGTACATGCATATACTTTCAGGCTGTTTGATTACCCACTGTCACCAATACACATAAATGGGGGGAAGAGCTATGAAACTGTATAGGGCTGTATATATACTTGTCTCAGCTTCATTAGAGCAGGAAATTGTTTTAATTTCCAGCAGTTATATCTAAACTGTTCAAAAAAAAACTATGAACAGATTAAAATACAGGACTGTTTTGAGGAGACTTTCTAAAGTGTACTTTAAAACATAGTAGCTTTACCTTTCACAAAATTAGTTACAAGAATACTTTGTTTTACAGTGCATCCCTTCCTAGGAAGTCTCATTAAAACACTCACTTTTTCTAGGGGTGATTTGATTGCTGCTGGAACAGGGAAGGGAAGGAAATAATAGTCTAACTTTCTTAAAGGATACCAGAAACATTGCTGGATATAATTTAAGATTAGTGTTTTCTCTTTCATAGAAAGAACGTACATACTGGGACATGAGTACAGTTACAGCAAGTCTAGGTGTGCTAACAAAATGGGACACATTCAAGTACAATTTTGCTTGAAATTAAAAACAAACTACATGAGATTAAAGCATTAAAATCATATCTCAATCTGAATACATGTTAAAAAAATCAAAAATGCAGAAGTGCTAGCTCACATTTTTTTTTTTACCATATTACAAAAGCAATTGGTACCCATGTCCATAAAAGCAGCAACAATGCTGCCTGTCTACTGAATAGTACTACTGCAAAGTGGACTGCGTTCAATGCTAGTTGTAAAAACACCAGCTTTACAGAAGTTGGTATCTGTACAAAATTGCAGCTTATTTTCTTCACTTCTGTCCCTTCAAAAAGTCTTTACACAGTAATGCTAAAACACCCAGTTCTGTGATCCTGAGTCAATATATTGCCACTTTCTTTTTGGTAGGTTGAGCTTCATAGTGTCAACACCTTACACATCCATTTTACAGTCTCTTCCTGCAGAAATGGGCAAGTGTCTTCCTCCAAAAGTTTTTAATAGTTTTAAGTTAGAATGGCAGAGCTCTCCGTGGAGAAGGAATTCAATTGTGCTGCAACGTATTAGATTCTATAGGTGGAGCAGAGTCATATAGTGTATCTGTATCATGTGTAGGTTCGCCGGCTAATGTACAGGGGTTAGACAGTGTTCCAGCACCACAGTCACAGAAAAACCTAGAAAATGACAAAAGCCAATAAGCCAATACATTAGCATACAAAGAAAAAGGTCCTAATTATATAATACTGTAACAGCAGGCTTACATACCTATCATGTCTAATAAATTCTACATCGTGTCCCTGATGGCACTTCTTAATGCAGTTCACACATATGGCATTACGATCTGTGGTGTTACAAGTATGGCATCTAAAAAGCATAAAATACAAATTAGTCATGGATTCAGAGAAATTAGATTCACCTTTTGTCACTGAAATATCTGACTGTTTGGTTCTAATCAACCCTGAAGGACTGAATGGGATATTTAGTTTCCAGAACTGCTTCACCTCTAAAGCTCCATTGTTTATTACAGGGTAAAGTGGAACTTACAGAACACAACTCTGCCTGTTTTCTTCTCTAAACTGATTTTCAGGCGAAATCCTTAATCCAGAAAATGGGGTAATGCAAAGATATTGCTCTCTTACACTGAACATACAAGAATCAACTCTTAATCTACTGTATACTCTCTTCCTGCTCACTACAGAAAGAGTCCCCATGAGGGAATGGTGATAGGAACTAGATTAGGGGGCCTGAACTGATTAAGCAGACCCAGACCAGACCTGTTTAATCACTTTTCACTTTAAATGAGTAAACAATTTCCTAGTCTATTTGGAAGGGGGCCACTGATGACCCCACTGTTGGGAGTGAGAGAGGGACCCAATATAAGAAATTCCTTCCAGAACCCACAAGTAATTTGGAAATTCAGTATACCTGTAGAAGTCATGCATGGGATAGCTGGTATAGCTTGATATTTTATATAAGCATTGGCCTCTACTAACAGCCTTTTCTATGGCATCTTGGTTGTTCATTATTTTGTTATCTGCAATAAAAGGAAAAAAAAAGATTTTAGGTTAGTTTAAACAAATAACTTTTAAATTCCCACTAAGTCCCACCATATAGCTTTTTGGTGGCCTGAAAGGAAACCCGTTTTCTTCTAAGTTATTTCAGCAAAATGCCACTTAACACACACACACACATTTATATATATATATATGTATGTATGTATGGTTGTCTGAGGATCAGTCTAGTTAACCTTGGCTCATTACTATATTAGTTGAAGGGTGCTGAATTTTTTGGCTACAACCAACATTCAAAAGACCGTTTGCTATGCTGTGTAGGTATTGTAATCTGTTGAAGGGAATACTTATCCCAATAAAACTACAAGTCTCTGAAGTAAGAAAGGGGAAAAAAAATTTTTTTAAGTTGACAGTCAACTAATTTTAATACTTCAAAAAGAAAAAAAAATACTTTGAAACTAGAGATTCCAACGTACCTTTCATCGTTACATTAACACCAGATGCTAGAAATAAGCCTCCAAATCGGTTGTTAAAAATTTGATTGCCTTCCAGTGTTGCAGTTGCATGATTTGTAATTTCAATACCTGAAAAAGTTAAAAGTGCTTGTTTACAACAGTTGTATGATCTTACTAAAAATTCTTATAGCACTTAATATATAATATCACAAGGCAAAGAGATTCGATGGTTAGTGTTTATACACACGCAAGGGAAATATCTGTTGAGTATATAGTTAGAATAAAACGCATCCACGTTCAGTGTGTCATTTCTGGTGATAGGCTACACAATAAGGGATAACAGTAAAATTACTCTGCATTCGCTGTGCAAGTCAGTGTGGGAAGGGACAAGTGGTCCGAAGGGTAAATGATATTAACAGCTAAGATTATACTATGTCAACTATTTAAAATTTGATTAAACTTTCTGTTTAACAAGGCATTAGTTTATGTGGTATATATGACATCTAAATTAAAGGTCAAGTCTCAAAGGCTGAAGACTAGAATTGCAATATGGCCTCACGATTCTACGAATACAAACCTGCAGCAAATCCATCAAATATTCTGTTTTTCCTTAAGACTGGATGACTATTAGTGCTGATCAGCACACCAGCTTGAGCATTTCTGAAAATATCATTCTCTTCAAGGAGACCTGTAATAAAATGCCCAGATATTAATAAAAACTTGGATTCATAATAAAAACTTTAGGGAAGTCTAGGATGAGAAAGAGATAGACGAACTCAAGTGACACACTCATTCTCAGGATAACCAAAGAATATCCAAGATGTATTGGAATTGTACCAAGCATTATGAGGGGCAAAAGGATGTGGAGAAGTTGTGACTTTTGTTAATGGAAGTACTGACAGTATCTTGAGATAAATGCTTGAGCTTGAAATTATTTTAGGGTAGGATTTAATAAAAAACTATATGTGCAAGAAAATAGGATTCAAACATTAGGACTAAAAGGGATCATTTGGCCAATCCTTTGTTTTACAGAGAAGCAAAGAGCTGAGCTCTTCCTGTGAATTGTGAGACAGCATATTATAACAAAGAGAACACCGGCCTTGCTAGTTTGAAAGACAAGGCTAGCTTTAATATAAAGTGCAACTCACTAAACTCTACTTCAGGTAACTATAAGATGAGTTAACCAAAAAACCACAGATCTGCAAGTATGAGATTGGGGGGTTGTGGGCTGCAATTATGTGACAAAAAAGCTGTCTAGCCTGCCTCACTATTACTGAAGGACTGCCCAATGGTCTCATTAGCACCACACTTAACAACACTTTATGGTAAATGGACATGAAAACAATATTGCTGCAAAAAAATGTTTCTATATATTTACAGACCAGTTAAAGTCAAGATTTCCGTAATTTATTAAAATTTATCAAACCCTCTGTATAGGAGCAAATTCTAATGTAGAAAATAATGGAGTTTGGAGTTAAATTTTGCTACTGTGGAATGTCTTATTGAAAATTTTAGCAGGTAAGCACTGTTTTGTGCTTCCAAGCCTTGAATTATTATCATTATTATTATTTTTATTTGGGGTGGGTGTGTGTGTGTGTAAATCTGTAAGGCTACAGATAAAAATGAAAGACACAGGAGTTGAATTTTCAGGAACAAAGACCTTGAACATTCTTAAAGATGTGGAATGAAACAATTCCATTGAAATGTTTCGTGACACAACACTGATCCAACAGATTTATGATCTTATTTCACTCAATCATTTATTAAGGCACCTATAGACTAGACACTGGATACACTCCTCCCCCCTCCCCCCAGGCTTTGCCCTCCACAAGCTTACATTCTATTAGAAGGAAACAACATATCTAAATACAAAATAAAGCTGGAGGGAGGATTAGGTAATGCCTTATGTAGGAGGTGATACCTAAGCTGAGCTTTAAAGGAAATCAGGGATTCTGAGGCAAAGGCCTGTGCAAAGGTAGAAGGTCCAGGAGATGGAATGCTGTACACTAGCAATAGCAGGCAGAGCAGTTTGGTTAGAATGCCAACGGCATGACGGTGTAATGATGTGCAATGTGCCTGGAGATATGCTGGAGCTAAACTGTGAAAGGACTTGAAAAGCTAGAAGGAGGAGTCTGTGTTTGATCTTAGAGGAGAGAGGAAGCTCCTGGAGCTTCTAAAGCAGATAAAGCTCTGATTAAGGAAGATCAAGTTGGGTAGAGGAGAGATTGGAAAAGGGAGATCAATTAGTAGCTATTGCTATAATCTAAGTGAGAGGGACAGAAGTCTGATCTAGGGTACCCCTTCCACAAATATAGTTCATAACCAGACAATCTGTATAAATACAAAAGGATAATGAACATTTTAAACGAAGAATACCTCGGCCTCCATTAAATATACAGATGCCTCCATCTCTTCCATCATGTATTTTATTTCTTCTTA